GTTCAAAAATACGACACATCCTGTATTGCTGTGAAGTGCGCAACATGAATTAAATGACAAGTCGGCTCAATAACCTCAGTATATTTGCCAGGAAGTGGGAATTGAACGATTAGCTCTCTGAAACCATTGCTAAACTGTATTCAAAGAAGTATTTAACTTACTCAAAGTACACGAGACCATTTTTCATGGCTTCACCTTTCAGAAGCACAAAAGGAAACTAGCTTTAATAGCTGGATACTTATGTTCCGATGACAGTGAGATGCTTCATGCACCATAAACTTAGCTAGATATCTCAACTGCTTTATTTCATTCACTCTGTAAAAAAACGGACAAAACCTAGAGTAAAGGGCAACCAAAAGCAGACAATATTCGATAATACTCTCGAAAGAGTGACAAGACAGCAGAAGCGTTAACTAAAAGTCTTTACACTGCTGGAAGGTTCACGTCCAATGGGGCTAAAGTTCGACGTTTTCCTCAAACTTGAGAAAATCTCTGCAGCGCTAACTATTTACTTCCTGTGCATGCGGTACCACATTCAGGATTAGCGCACTGTGTCTGAACAAAACATCCGGAAAACAGAGTCCAACAACGAGGTACAGCCCTAACCCGGGGTTCTGTTTTTTGTCTATCTGTCATGGTTTTGGGCGAGGTGCCGCATTTCAGATCGTGCATCAGGTACTCCAGAAACAGTCCATGTTTAGGTTATCACTCCTCACGTTTGGACGGGCTTAGTCTTTACCTGTCCCCTGACAATAGTGCAAGCCAGTTATCTGTGTGCTAAACAACCTCAGACTCAATTTACGCAGAGAATTTCCTACACACATTACAGAGCTAAAAAATGAAACATTTGGAATCCATGTTCGCGAAAATTTTTCTTAGCCAAAGGTAAAATAACATAACCATGATCCATGCAAGGCTGGTCAACAAAGTGGTAGTCCACAAAGATTCACATGGTAACCAAACAGAGTAGTGGCCGTTTTCCAAGAAAGTCATTTCAAGCCGGACTGAACAGCACTACAGACTTGGTTTTCCAGCGTACATACCAGGACAGGAAGAGTTTGAACAGTTTCTCGTCTGCTTCCACGGCTGAGGACAACTTGCCACCAACGTTTCGATCCCGCTCTTAACGGTACTTGAAATGGGAGCAACGGCCGAGTGTGCGCAAAGGCGGTAACGTGACTGCTGACAGTAAATCTTCTCAGATGTTCTGGAGGGGTCGGATATCACAACGGAGGGACTGCATGTACTCCATTCTGTCCAGACTGGTAAGGCATTTGTCGGTAGGTTTGCTTCATGGTTAACAAGACAAGGGGCAATTTCGTCAGAAATTCATTAGAAGATTGCGAACATGGTGAAGCAAATGGTAGTTATCAATTGGCATTTTGCCTGCCAGTGGGGCCAACCTATGTTGCAACCCAAGATGCACTGCTCACGGAAATCCAAGAAGCTTCGGATTTGTGACCTCCCAGTTGGTAGCTTGAACTGCAGCTTGATCAGCAACTGATCAACCTTGTGCTTGACTCAAAATTAAACAGAATACAGCGCCACTCATTCTTCACTCACGGAACTCACATCAAGATTTTAATCTCTTGACTAGAAATTAGACTGTTCTGTCGGAATTAGTCGTAAGACTAGCAAAATTACACTCATTTGCAAACAAATTTGGTTTTTGCGAGAGACTCATCCGGAATTTGGTTGAATCCCTCGTTTGTGATTTTTCCAGGCAACTGAATGTGCTACAACAGGCTGTCTCATGCTTCGGGTGCTACGATATTCGGGATATCGCAATACATGTATATTCGTAATGCACTACTTTTAAGGTTGCCGAAAAGTCTCCGGCAGTTCACGACCGGTTTCGCCCTTCTTAGGGCACATCAGGTAGGCGCGGTCCCCAGGTTTGCGGCAACTTTATGTTCCACTTGAGCAATATTTTGCATCTCTCTACTGAACACTACTTGAGACGCACAATAGCAGGTAGCGTCCTTCATATATTTCCACATTAAAACTGCCTTCTGAAAAGAACCCTAATTCAACAAGCTGCAAAGCTGGACATAGACGCAATGCATGAGAACATCATAATCGAGTGGTTAGGCCGATTTTTAGCTGAGTCTCCCGCAAACACCAAATTTGTTCGCTAAATAGTGTATTTTGCTATCCGGAAGACTGTTTGCTGAGATGCCTCATTCTCCATGAAGATCCCGAGAACCATTTCAAACTGAAGTAAGTTGAGAGGTTCTGGCCGAATAGTTCATTGACTTATACAAAATACCACAAATCTAACAGTAACATGGTTCAAAGGATTTTTTACTCATTAAACCGACCATGGTCATGCATGGCCACAGCACTGCCCCACAATGCCGGCTTTGTCACACCCTTTATCGTGTAAGAGATGAGAAGACAACTGCCACCTTGTTCCGTGCCGCCTACTATCCAAGGTGTCATTGTGCGGGAGATCAAAGAGTTATTGTTTGAAACATGTATCGGAAAAATGGACAACTGAACAAGTTATTTGGACTTTTAATCATTCGTCCGGTTGTGGAGCATTAAAGTGATCTTGTCAGATATATCTACAGCTAGCGCTAGGATCCACGAAGGAGAATACTCAAATTGCCCGTTTGCCCTTATGTTGATACAATTATTCGCGCACCATACGCGAATGGACCTATTTCTTCCTGCCGAGTTACCAGCGCGTGGATTAAACTACCAACATTTTCATTAATTTTCTAACTAATGCAAGTAATGGGAAAATTTAATGGGAAATTTATCGGAGGGATTGACTAATATAAAACCACAAGAAGAAAATAAATAAGGCTAACGCTTTAGTTTTGGTGATATCACCAGTTTTAACATTAGGCGAAACCAGCCGCAGAAGATTTATATTCATTGCTGTTTACGAAAAGAAAATAATTTGACATTTGGAACGTCGAGTCTACTAAAACAAAGGTATCCATTGCGATGAATGTTCGGTTGAATGAAAGTACATACTCGTGAATCGCCCCTTTTTCACTTGAACCCCAGTTGGCGCAATTTTGTTAGTGAACAGTCGATTGGTTGAATCAACCTTAAATGCTTTACGAGACCTAAGAAGACTGTCTGTCGCCATTCGAAACTGTCTGCTGATATCGTAAACAGTTCACATGTCCACACACCCATTGTTACGATTGCTTGACAGCTGTTTCCTACGGACTCACACTAGTGAGTGAGGGTGGCAGGCCTTGTCAACTTATAGAGCGTTTGCACTGTCTTCATGCACTCAAATGTCTTACCGAGGCCTGAGCAAACGTTCCGAATATTCGATGCGCGCACTGATGAGGCCCCCTCCACTGGGGGGAAAGCGCTCACATGCTAAATGCCAAACAGATCAGCTATCACCTGATCAGCTTTTTGTAAAGCAACCCGAACTACCATTTTTGGTGCGCTTCTGTACTCTGGAATGAATAACCTTCTGTAATTTTACTCCTCAACAAGGCCAGTCGTTTGCAGTCCACACTATACCAGGCGAATCCGCAATAAAATTTTCTAAACAAGCTGGCCTCAGGAGAATTCTTGGAGGAACATTCAACCGTTGATCAAAAATTAAATGAAAGATATGTCGTCATTATGCTGAATGACGGTGGTTATCTCCTAACTCTGCTACTGGGATATATATATATATATATATATATATATATAGATAGAACAAACCGAAAGCTAGAAACGTTGGGAAAATGCAT